AGAAGCAAGAAGATGAGCATACAGCGGACGAGGGCTGGAAGGAGGGGTGCCTGAGACCCCGGGAGACGCCACGGGAGGAGGCTGCCATGGAGAACTGGGCTGAGACCACCGGAGCAGCTGGAGACCAGCGGGAAGGGTGGGTGGATCAGCCACCTTTCCCCTCCCCTGCATCTGCGACTGCCGGTGGCTCCCCAGCGGGTGGAGAGACCTGCGGACACCAGCCCAGAACGGCCGCCACCAGCGAGCGGTGAGCCTGTAGCAGATGCGGGACCAGGCTCCCAACTCCCTTGGGCACCTCCGTGTGCACAGACCCGAACCGCGCGGCAGGCGCCACATTGCCTCCTCCTCCCCTCCCCGGCTACCCGCGGCTGCCAGAGACAATACAGCCACCAGCGGAGGCACCTCCAGGGACGGGACCTTCCCTTTTGGGAACCCACAGCTGACTAGAGGGGAACTCAGACTGTGAGCTCCCACCCGCCAGCCCTCCCAGGGCTGCGGCACGGTGATCCCAGGAGAACAGGCAGACCTGAGGCTGAGAGACATAGACCAGCTTGGGCTCCCCTGGGTGAATTGGGACTGGCACTCCTCTCCCTGGTGGCGATATAGTTTGAACTCTGGGACCCAGAGGTCAGACCTGCAGACCACATCCCGTGCACCGAGGTCTCGCATTGCCCGGGACACAGAAGGGATATACAGGAACAGCCTACTGAGGTGTGTGTGCCTCCAGGGGCAGATCAGTGTCCTAGAGGGCAACCCTCCTCCCAAAAGGAGGCCTTGTGCCCAGCCCAGGTGGCGTTCCTGCGCAGGACCTCCCCGCGGCATCACAGTCTGCGGAAGCCAGTGGCGTGAGTCTGGCCTGCTGGCAGAGGCCAGGGAGTAGCTCGGGAGTTGGGAGGGGTGGAAAGAAGCAAGGTCCGCTCCAGACTGTGGGTCTCAGACAGCCCCCACCACGCAGACTTTCTGGCTGAGCGGGCCATTGCAGCCCGCCCTGACAGCTTTGCTAGAAGCAGAGAACAGAACTTTGACCCCTGCTACGGCATTGGTTGGGTGCCTGAGGGCAGGCTCACCAACCCAGCTCTGACCCGACTCTCTCCTAGACCAGCCCTCACTGAGGGAGAAGAAGGACACACCTGGAAGTCCCAGGGCCCACCGACCACCTGAGGCATAGAGTGCCTCTTTACAGGAACAAGAGCTGATAACAGACACAAAAACGAACAGCGTAGCCTGTTCCTCCAAGCAAGTGCACACCTACTGGCAGGGGAGGACATCCTGCACAGCCTTTTCACGTCACCCACTGATCATTATACAGGGAGTGGTTGAACCTACTACAGACCAACCTAACGCCTCAGAAACTAAACAAGGTGTGTGAATACCCAAACAAAACCTAAAGAATAGAAACAAAACTGATCGACATGGGAAGAAATAGCGAAAGAACTCAGGAATATGAAGAACCAAATGAAAACACACCCAAAGAGGAGCACCAGCCCCTAGAGCGGACACCAACCAAAATCAGGCAACCAAAATGACAAAGAGGAATTTGTATGTGGATCATAGAACACTTACCGACCTGCAAGAACGACTCAATAACAACACAAAGAAACCAAAAAAGCCTCCAGACCTAGAACAAATCACTAAAGAAATAGACACAATGAAGAAACAGTTTACTGAACTCGCTGGAAATGAAGAATGCAATTCAGGAATACAAAATACAGTGGAAGCTCAAACAGGGATAGATCAAACAGAAGAAAGAAACTCTCAGGAATTGAAGATAAGACCCTCCACTAAATTAAATAGTCACAGAGATGACAGAGGAACAAGAGAAAAGCAGCAAGCCTGCAAGAAATTGGGGATTTGTGAAGAAATGTACGTGGTAGGGCTATTACCATGAAGGGGAAGAGACAACACCCTGGAAAGCTAGTTGGAGAGATATAATAGAGGGAAATTCCCCGGCCGTTGTAAATTTGTATACAAGTTCAAGAAGGCTCAGAGGACCCCTGGGAGATTCAATGCAAACAGGAAGACTCACGACATACAGTATCAGATGACACAAAAAATACAACTAAAGAGGGCCTTCTAAGAGCTGTAAGATGAAAGAGAAGCAAGTACTACAAGGAAAGCCAATTCCAAATAACACCAGACTTTACTACTGAGACTTTACGCAAGGAGAGACGGGACCTCATCTCATCTTCTGAAACAAAACAATCCGCCGCCTAGAATCTTATTCTGCAAAACTAGCTCGTATATGAAGGAGAAATAAACATCTCAGATAACAAAGTCTCAGAAGAAAATTCACCAACAAGACCAGCCTTACAAGAAGTACCCAAAACATTTACGGCATGGAAACACCCTAATAAAAATTACAATATAAGAACAACCAAAAGCCCAAAGATTAAAGGCAGATATTACAATGGCTAAGGAGAAAGAATCAAAGCAAACATTCAACCCAACAGAATGACAGTATGCTACCTACTATCGGTTCTCTTAATAAATGTGAATGGCTTAAGTCTCCACTCAAGAGACATAGGCTGGCTGAATGGATAGAAATCAGGCCAAGTATATGCTGTCTTCAGGAAACACGTAACTGCAAGGAAGCATATAGACTAAAGTAAAAGGGTGGAGATCAGTATCCAGGCAAGTGGAAGCCAAAAGAAGGTGGCATGCAGTACTTATTCAGATTTAGTTTTTAAACCAACAAAGTAGTGAAAGACAAAGAGGTCATATATAATGTGAAGGGCACACTTATTTCTCC